AAATAATTGGTAGGTGTTATTGGGCTCTGTCCATTTTGCATTTTTATTTAGCTTGTGTATTGATGGCTCTCTGCTTTGGAGATGGAAGCAGTCTTAGAATTGAAGACAAAAGCCGTGCAAAATGGTTTCCTGACTAGGATACTAACACTAAAATCGCAGGATATTGCTTTACTGAGGAAATTGGGATATTTCTTCTATTTCATGTACAGTTGAATCCAGGGACTAATGTCGTGTGTTTAGAGAGATTCCCATCTATTACACATATTTGTCAACTTTTTAGTTAAAAGTTTAGAATATACTAATATAAGTGGTATAGACTACAACTACATTTGTGTTAAAACTCTTATGTTTAAAAAGTAGTAAGGAGCCGGGCTCGGTGGCTCAGCCTGTAATCCCGCGCCTTTGGGAGGCTGAGGTGAGTGGATTGCCTGAGCCCGTGAGTTCGAGACCCGCCTGGGCAGCGAGACCTCATCTCTACAGTAAATCAAAAAATCAGCCGGGTGTGGTAGCACATGCCTGTAATTCCGGCTACTTGGAAGGCTGAGGCGGAAGGATTGCCGGAGCCCAGCAGGCGAGGCTGCGGTGGCCGGGAGCAGCCACTGCACTCCAAAAAAAAAAAAAAAGGTAGTAAGGAAGTTGAGAGAAGATCCTGAGAGAGATGATTGACTGACTTGTTGACTCAAACGTAAAGATCTGCAGGTTTCTGCCTTCGCTACTTGCCCCCGCCACCCCTCACTTCATCAGGGAAGAACCTTAGTCATTTTATAGAACAGGAAGCAGGAGGCTAAAACAATTATTTACTCAGTGTCATACATGGCAATTTATTTGCTGCTGATTATTTCCATGTATTGTCTATAAAAATTATAATTTTGACATCTAATTAACTTATAGCTGTGATTTTCTGATATACTTTATATTATATGTAAATGTATAATAGCAACAGATAATCCATATGATATTCATAAAAATTAATAAGATATTGATGATATCCAACATTATTTTAATAATAAGAGAATGACATATACAAGAACTGCTTTGCCATAGGAAAAAGTGAGAATCTTTTTTTAAAAATTGCTTTTTCTAGTAGACATTTATGTTATACTTTTTATATTCATGATTTAGTGACTCTGGTAGTTTTTTAAAATAGAGATTCTGTAAGACACATAAACCTTTTCTGTTTGAGTGTTTGGGAAGCCTTTTGTTCTCCTGGTAAAAGCATTAGACTAAACAGACCAATAGGATTCTTTTTACCTTGTAGTGTCATTAATTCTGAGACTTTTAACTGAGTTGTTTTCTTAGCTGTGAAAATAAGAAACATCTATTCATTATTCACTTGAGAGATTTTACAAAGGTTAAAGATTATAAAGAAGAGTTAGATTTTAAAATACATATATATGATAATGAATGAGGTTGATTTTGCAGTTTAGTTATTCATCAAATAAGTATTGAAATACTAAGTTCTAGGTATTATGTTGATACTGGGTAATATTGGGGGTATAAACAGGCCTGGTTTCTGCCTTTTAATATATAGAAAGGAGGTCAGGGGAGTAAAGAGTAATTATCAAATTTGATAATTATAGGAAGAAAACAGTAAGGCACAGCTAGAATAACCGTGTAATTAGAGAAAGCCCCTCTTAGCCAACACTTGAAAAACAGGGAGTTGGCCACTTATGAACAGAGGAAAGCATTCTCGGTGTGTCTCAGAAACCTTGAGGCAGCAAACTTTAATGTGATTTAGAAACTGCAAGGAGCCTCTTGTGGCTGGGCCATAGTGGGTTAGAGGGGCAGGCAATGGCTACTGTATAGGGTGCTGGGGTCTAGGCATGTTCTAGAAAGCCTTGGTAACGAAGAGTTGAGATTTTACTTAAGGCACATTGGGAAGCTATTAGAGGGTTTTCAGCAGTGAATAATATGACTAATTTATGTTTTGTGATGATTAGATGGAATAGGCAGAGGTGAACAGGAATGGTAGCAGGGAACACCAGTTGGAGGTCATAGAAGGGTTTCAGGGAAAAAAACGATATGGCTTGTATAGAAGCAGGGGATCAATTCAAGATATATGTTCTGTAAGCCACATAAACCTTTTCTATTTGAATGTTTGGAAAACCTTTTGTTCTACTGGTAACATCATTGGACTGAACAGATCAATAGGATTTCTTTGACCTTGTAGTGTCTTTAGTTTTGAGAAATAGAACCAGTAAAACTTTCTGTTGTATGTTAGGCAATGGAAAGTAAGGGAAAGGACAGCATCAGGATGAATTGTGGAATTCTGGCTTAAAGGAATGGCGTTGCCATTTATTGAGGTGAGGAAAGCGAGGGAAAAGAGGAACAGGATAGGGAGAGGAAAACCAAGAGATGTCTGTAAGGCATCAGCGGAGTACTTTAACAGAGGTTTGAACTAGAGTTAGGGACATGGGAACTACTGACTTACAGGAAGTAGTTAAAGCCCTGGGAAAGGATGTACAGTAAAGTGGGAGAAATTGTAAGGAGAAGAGGGCCCAGAATTGAGTTTTTCAGGATACGATACATTTAGAGCTTGGATAGAGGGATAGGCAGAGAGAGAGAGGAGGAAAGCAGGTTTTGAATCCCAAGAGGGCAAGTATGTTGACAAGACAACTCTCAACCTGGGTTGTGACTTCTAAGAGAGCTGATGAGAATATTCAAGAGTGGGGAAACTATCGCTTTGAACACAAGAGTCAACAAAGTGGTAGGGTTGGAGACCAGATTAAGGTATTTGCAGAGAAAAGAGAAACTGAGGAAGGAGAAGATAGTAAGGGTGAATAACATTTTTGTTTTGTTCTGTTTTGTTTTGAAAAATTGAGTCATGAGCAGAAAGTAGAGAGAGATAGTAGTTGCTATTGGTGATGTGAGATCAAGGGAAGGCTACTTTGTTTTTGTAAGATAGGAACCACTAGAGCATGATTTATATTTTGGTAGAATTTTGGTCTATATAATATATATTGAATTGGGCAAATATACTGAGATTCAAACAATTCAGAGCAGGTGGTCCATGCTCTGTGAGACTATCCAGAGACCCAGACTGGAAGGAGTAGTCTGGCATCCTCCAGAATGTGAAGCATCCAGGACTGGGTTTAAGAGGACGATGTCTATTGTTATTTTCTAGCCAATGGGAAAGGGAAATCTTGGGTAGGCGGCTCTGTCTTTATGAAAATGACCTAAACATTGAATACATTTTTTTCTGTTGTCTCATTAGTCCAGTCTTAATCACGTGACCACAACTCATTGTAGTGTTAAGGTGAGTCTAAGAGTACTTGCTAAAACTGAAAGGTTAGTTGCTAAAGGAAAATGGAGGAAATGGATTCTGGGAAGAGTCTATTTCTGCCAGGCTATGAGCACCTTGGAGTGGGGGGGTGGTTGCAACTATCATCTCCTTTCCAAAAGGTGGAATTTGATTGTAGGCTCTGAATTCCACAGTGTACTCACCATCTTCCCTTCCACTATTTTCTCTCTATACCACTTTCCAAAGTTACAAAGAGGATGTAATATTTACTTTCAAGATTTGGAAAGGAAAAAAAATCTGTTCATTTTATTTGGATCACTCTCTTTCTCTGTGTTTGGGCTTACTATTTACATATACTTGGGGCAGCTGAGCCCATGCCAAGTTGGTATGTCTTTTATTCAACAGAATATCTGGTGATTGTGAAAATAACCCTAAATAGAAAGCACAGATATAGCATTTAGTTGATAACATAGATTATACTTGGTATGTTCCTTCCTTCTTTAAATTATTAAACATTCTGATGTATATTGTGAAGATCGAAACGAAATGGTAGTCTTACTATAGAGTTACAGGTTTTATTTTACATAATTTACAGTATACCAATGGGTATATCACTTGCTTAAAATATTACACTGTCCCTTTGTTCATGATATTTTTACTATAAAATTAGAATTAAGAAGGGAAATTATATGTCAATATGAGATATCTGTTCTTCAGATACCCCATATGCCTAAGATAAGAACTTACTTAAAATGACACAGCATCTACTTGGCATAGCAGCTCTCTTGCTGCTTAGAGCACAATCTGTTTTAAAAACACAGTGGCATTTCTTCTTAGCAGGGGGAAAAGTAACAGTAGGAAGTAAGTTCTTTAGGTATGATCATGTTTGGTGTCCCCGTGTGGCACTTGTAGAAACCGAAGCACAAAATCCTGAAGTATCTTGACTAGCAAACTTTTAGAAGATGGTGGTTATATATTAGAAGGTCTTGTCTTAGGATGTAGCAGCAGATTATTATGTATGAAGTTCGGTTGTTTGAATTCCTTATAAGATATGAGACAAACTCATCTTTCAATACTCAATGGAAGTTAAGAGGAAGCCAGGAAGAATATGAGAATTAACTTAGGAGGGAAGGAGAGGTGATGCTGCCTTGGCCCATCCCCAGCCACAGCCGGTGTGAGACAGAGCCCATATCCCTGAAGAAGCCATTGTTATAGTTGTGGTTGCTAATTCAAAGGAGGATAACTAAATTAAGAGACATTAAATGTAAAAGGCATTTGTTTCTGAGGGATCCAAGGTGTCAGGGCTTGGGAGGGCCTCCGTATAGGGATAGGAAGAGGGTGAGGAATGAGAAAGAATGTCTGCTTGCTTTGTTAGATCACCCTTCCCAGGGATTAAAATATATTCAGCTGATACACCAGATACATTTTTCTGAAATTGCATGTAATTTATTTAATTATTAAGACATTTAAAAATGTTATATTATGACTCTCTGTGGCAAAAATCTAATAGGACTCAAGCCTGTGATCATTACAAACCAACTTTTACTTCTGTTAAATGTTAGCTTTGAGCCACTCCTGGGCACCCAACTTTGTGGCATATTTGACATGTGGTCTGGCGAGTGTGTGGATAGGAGGTTTGATGGCTCGCTCCCTCCCTCCTTATGACTGTCTTTAGCCTGTCTCGGGTAGCATCCTAGTTTTCTGCCGAGAGAAGGTAATTGCACCGAGTGATGGGATTTCCCCTTTTTTCTGCTGGCAGAACAATCAACCATGACGACCGAATCCGGATCAGACTCGGAATCCAAGCCCGACCAGGAGGCCGAGCCCCAGGAGGCGGCAGGGGCGCGGGGGAGCGCGGGGGAGCCCGGGCCGCAGCTGCCCAGCGAAGAGCACCGACAGGCCTTGGAGCAGTTCGCGGCCGCCGCGGCGCACAGCACCCCGGTGAGGAGGGAGGTGAGCCCGCTTCGCGCCGCCTGGCCAGCACCAGCCGGAAAACCAATTAGACCGTGTTTGCTGAGCTGTGCGGGGTCTGCTTTAGCCTTGGTCTCTTAGCACAAGAGGCAACTATGAGGGCATCTGCTTTGCTCTTTCTGGGCCCAGGCGGATGAACATGCATATGCATGCTATCGTAAGGCCTTCTGTGAATGGCATTCCACAACCTTGCTTGGTATCTCTTCTGTTTACTTAAAACACTTAAATTCACACCGAAGTCTGGATTGGAGATTATTGGGCCTATATGGATTTAGAGGCAACTAAATGGACAGCTTTAATTATGGTTGTGGTTGTTTTTTTTATTTCCAGCCTAAGGGTTAGAGCTGTTTGTGTTTGTTCCTAGGCACGACTCTGACCCTAGCACTGCCATGTACTTTCATGGACCTTCAGATTTCTTTCCCTGCCCTATTCACATCTATTTTTTTCTCTACACACGTTTGAATTGTGATGAGTCATGTATTTCTTTTAAAAGTTCTCACATAGAAAATAAAGTATGGTTTATACCTGGGCTTTGAATGAGTCCATGTTTAAATTTCTTTTGCTTTAAAACTGCAAATTTGGAATCAACGTGCTTCAGAGTACTGACTTGTACATGGTAAAGAACTCTAGAGTCGGGACAAGTGATTGACCTTTTATAGGTTAGAAGTGTATGTGTTGAGCTGAAAATTTTATATTGAGGGAAGAGACGTGAAATCAGCATATTAGTGAAAAATCTTTGGAAGTCACAACACGTTATTATTGCATTAAACTACATATTTGCAGCCAGCTTATTTTATTTCTTTACTCAGAGCATTTGTAAGGTTCTATTAAAAAAAAAAAAACTTAAAAAAAATTAAGGTAAAATATGCATATATATATAATTTACTATTTTTATGTGTACAGTTTAGTGGTAATGAATACATTTATAGTCTTTTTTTCTCCCTTCATCACCACCTTCCTGGCCTCAGGTATTCCCTACTCTACTCTGTCTTCATGAGAACCACTTTTTTTGTTTCCACATGAGAGAACATGCAATATTTGTCTTTCTGTGCTTGGCTTATTTTACTTAACCTAACAGCCTCCAGTTCCATCCATGTTACTGCAAGTAACAAGATTTCATTATTTTTTATAGCTGACTAATATTCCATGGCATATATATATCACATTTTAAAAATCCACTCATCTGCTAATGGGCACTTAGAATGATTCTATATTTTGACTGTTGTGAATAGTGCTGCAATAAATGTGGAAATGCAAATGCCTTTTTTTTTTTTTAAAGATGTAGGGTACAGTCCAGGATTAGGTGCATAAGTGGTCATCATAAAGGTGAAGTTTAGGTCTCCCTTTGGTCCCCACTTCTCCTGATTTGGGATCAGTTGCCCTTATTGATGTTTTGTTGATGTTTTGTGTCCCCCCCCCCTTCCCTGGCAGTGTCCCACTACTTTCAATCCCTTTCCTATAGTATTGTAATAAATGTTCAGGGTCTGCTTATGAGTGAGAATATGTGTGGTACTTAGTTCTTTGTTTCTGTGATACATCACTGAGTATGATAGACTCTAAATCGATCCAAGTTGCTGCAAAGTCTGTAATTTGTCCTTCTTTATGATTGTGTAATATTCCATTGTGTATATGTACCACATTTTTTTATCCAGACCACTTTCGGATGGAGCACAGTTGGTTCCATGTTTTTGCTATTGTGCTGCAATAAGCATGTGCCAGGTATCTTTTTTTGTAGAATGATTTGAGTTCCTCCAGGCATATTCCCAGAAGGGGATTGCTGGGTCGTATGGAAGGTCAAGTTTTAGATCTTTTAGAAATCGCCACACTGTTTTCCACAGAGGTTGTACTAATTTACACCCCCACAATGTAGAAGGGTTTCCTTTTCGCCATTTTTTCTAGCATCTGTTGTTTTTTGAGTTATTAATGATGGCCATCATGACTGAATGAGGTGGTATCTCAGTGTAGTTTTGATTTACATTTCTTTGGTGATTAGTGATGCTGAGCATTTTTTCATGTATCTGTTAGCTGTTCTTTTGAGATGTGTCTATTCATATCTTTTACCTACTTTCTGATAGGGCTGTTTGCTTTTTTTCCTTTTGGCATGTTTGAGTTCCTTGTAGATCCTGGATGTTAGGACTTTGTCAGATATACAGTTGGCAAATATTTTTTTTTCATTCTGTATGCTGTCTCCTCACTTTCTTGATGGTTTCTTTTGCTTAGTGCAAATCCCTTTTCAATTTATTGATTTTCTTTCCTTTAAATATATACTCCGTAGTGGAATTGCTGGATCATATGGTAGATCTACTTTTAATTTTTTTATTGAAAACCTTCATACTATTCCATTCTATTTTCTGTAGTATCTGTAGTGGTTTACATTCTCACCAACAATGTATGAGGGTTCCCTTTCTCTGCCATCCTCACCAGCATTTATTATTGCCTGTTTTTTTGATACAAGCCATTCTAACTGGGGTGAGATGGTATCTCAAATGTGGTTTTAATTTGCGTTTCTCTGATGATTAGAGATGTTGAGCATTTTTTTTCATATACCTGTTGGCCGTTTGTAGGTCTTTTTTTGGAGAACATCTATTCAGATATTTATTCAGATATTTTTAATGGGATTATTATTATTTTTGCTATTGAGTTGTTTGAGCTTCTTATATATTCTGGTTAGTGATTCCCTGTCAGATGAATAATTTGCAAATATCTTCCCTCATTCAGAGGGTTGTCTCTTTACTTTGTTAAGGTATATGTGTGTGTGTATGTATATATGTATACATACACACACACATACACACACAATATACTTTTGCTGTGCAGAAGCTTATTAGCTTGTTATCTCATTTATCTATTTTTGCTTTGATTGTCTGTGCTTTGAGGTCTTATTCAGTATCATGTTAGCTGTGGGTTTGTCCTATATGGTCTTTATTATTTTGAGGTATGTTTCTTCTATACCCATTTTGCAGAGGGTTTTTATCATAAAGGGATATTGAACTTTATCAAATTTTTTTGGCATATGTTGAAATGAACATATGCTTTTTGTTCTTGATTCTATTAATATGATGTATCATATTTATTGATTTGCATATGTTAAACCATTCTTGCATCCCTAGGGTGAATCCCATGTCTTTGTCTGGTTCTAGTTTCAGACCTCATAGAATGAGTTTGAGAGTAGTTTCCCCTCTTCAATTTCTTTGAGGTTGGATAGAATTGGTATTAGTTGCTCTTTAAATGTTTGGTAGAATTAGCAATGAAGCCATCCATCCCTTGGTGTTCTTTAATGGGATGGGAGACTTTTAATTACAGCTTTAATTTCACAACTTGTTATTGGTTTGTTGACGTTTTGGGCTTCTTTATGGTTCAATCTTGGTAGGTTGTATATGTCCAGAAATTTCTATATTTCTCTTAGGTTTTCCAGTTTGATGGTATATAGTTGTTCATAGTAATCTCTAATGATTCTTTGTATTTCTGAGGTCTCAGTTGTTAGTCTCTTTTTTTTGTTTCTGGTTTATTTGGGTCTTCTTTTTTCTTAGTGAGTGTAGTTAAAGGTTTGTTGGTTTTGTTTATCTTTTCAAGAAAACTAACTTTTTTCCATTGATTTTCTATATTGCTTTTAAATTCTCAATTGTATTTATCTCTGTTCCAATATTTATTCTTTCTCTCCTTCCATTAATTTTAGGCTTGGTTAGTTCTTGCCTTTCTAGTTCCTGGAGGTGCATCCTTAGGCTGTTTACCTGAAATCTTTCTACTTTTTTGATATAGGTGTTTATTGCTAAAAACTTTCCTATTAACTGATTTGTCATATCTCATAGATTTCGGTATGTTGTATTTCTATTTTCATTTATTTGAAGAAAAATTTTAATTTTCTTCTTAATTTTTTCATTGACCCATTAGTTGTTCAGGTGCTTGTTGTTTAATTTCCATGTGTCCATTATTTTTCAAGGTTCCTCTTGTTATTGATTTCTAGTTTTATTTCATTGTGGTAAGAAAATATACTTGATAGGATTTGTGTGGTTTTTTTTTAAGTTTGTTCAGACGTGTTATGTGACCTAAGATATGGGCTATTCTGGAGGATGTCCCCTGTGCTGATGAAAATAATGTGTATTCTGTAGCAATTGGGTTAAATGTTCTGTAAATGTGAGTTAGTGCTATTAGATATAGTGTGTAGTTTGTGTAGTTTAACTCCACTGTTTCTTTGTTGACTTTCCTTCTGAGTGGTCTATCCATTATTGAGAGTAAGGTGTTAAAGTTCCCTACTATTACTATATTGCAGTCTGTTTCTCCCTTTGGACATGTTAATCTTTGCTTTATATGCTGGGAGCTCTAGTATTGGGTACATAGATGTTTATAATTATTATATCCTCTTGCTGAATTGATCCATTTAGCATTATATAGTGACCTTCTGTGTCTCTTTTTACAGTTTTAAATTTGTAGCTTATTTTATCTGCTATAAGTATAGATTAGTCCTCATCTTTTTCCATTTTCATGGAATATCTTTTTCTACCTCTTTACTTTCAGTCTGTTTGTGTTCCTTATAGGTAAAGTGGGTTTCTTAAAGCCAGCAAATAATTGGATCTTTTTAAAAAATTGAATCTTTTCAACCACTCTGTGCCTTTTAATTGGACAATTGAGATCATTTACATTTAGTGTTATTAACGATAAGGACTTAATACTGCCATTTTGTGACCTATTTTCTGGTTGTTTTGAGACTCCTCTCTTCCTTTCTTACTGTTTTGCTTTGTGGTTAAGTGATTTTCTCTGGTATTATATTTAAATGCATTACTTTTTATTTTTAGTAACTCTATTATAGGTTTTGTACTGTGGTTACCATGAAGCTTTAAAAAAAAATCTTATAGATATAACAAGTTGTTTTAAAGAGATGAAAATATCTTAGATCATAAATAAAAGAATAGAAACAAAGGCAAAAAAAAAAAAAAAAAACTGCTAAAACTTACCCTACACTTTAACTTCATACTCCCACATTT